TGTTGACTTGTTTGGTTCAAATAGATTTTAAGCCAGACTTCTTATTACAAGAATTTCAGCAGATTAAGTCATTTAGGACATAAACTTTACCAAACAGGCTCTAACAACAAGTACCATCCAAGGTTAATTGCAGGCAGCACATGCTTCCAGTTTCATAAATTCAGTAAATTTGGGATCTTCCATGTTTGTTTGAATCCAAACGAAGCCTAAGAGTAATTATCACCAAAGATTTGAATGGGGGCAGGAATTAGCAACTTACAAGAGCAGCAAAAACAGTTCCAGCTTTGTGATCATAGACGACAAACCCGAAGCTGCCCTCCAGATCCTTGAGGACTTGATGGGCCGGGTACGGGCCTCTGTCTCGGAGGGTCCGATAAGCTTCGATCACAAGCATGGCCTCATTCCCACCTTTTGATAATCCATATTGTCTGTTGAGAGAGCACAGATTGTTGAGGCTCCCCAGGAAGATGCAGTACATCTCATTCAACCCACAGAACAGCCTGCAATAGCATCCCCACTTTTCAAAATGACTAAGAGCTAATCTTACAATAAAAAATTTAAAGCCCTGGCTTCCATGATTCCATGAAATTGAATAAAATTGAACGAAAATACCTCTGGTGAGACAAAAGGGAAGAAGGTTTAGCAGAGGAAAAGGCCAGTAATGCCTGATCACCGAACCCTAGAGAGAAACCATTGTTGTGATTTGAAGACAGGAAATTGTTGATGGCCATTTGAGGTGGAACGAGGTTGCCGGACGATGCGACTGAGCTTTTCAGCTCCTTTGGTGGATCCATCAGTCCTCTCTTGAAAATTGCCAACATTTTCGTCTTCTTCTTCTGATCAAAATATCTGAAAGCTTTAGAAATGATTGAATGGAAAATGCGAGTATGGAGTTTTGGTCTGTAATAACACCATTTATATAGAGAAGGAAGAGTGACAATCATATTGTCCCACGTGTCGGCGTTATCCAAATGGATAAGGAGGACACTTTTTACTCCGTATTCAGTCCTTTGACCCTATCTACTCTTTTTTACCGCAGACGTCATTTACACGTAGATTTTGGGTGTTTGGTTACTGGCCTATCATTCAATTTTTAACTGTTTGGACCATTAATTGGTCTTTTGATCATTAACTGGTTAATAAGTTTTTTCTATTGGCTTTTTAGGCCAACCAGCCAAAAATCAAAATGCCACTAAACTTAACATTTTGCATTGGGTTGTTTCACTTGGTCCTCTAAAAATAGGGATTTAACCTTAAATCATACTCCATCCGTCCTTCTAATCTTGTCCCGTTTTACCTTTTCGTCCGTCCCATTAAGTTTGTCTCATACCATATTTGATAATGTTTGAATGGTTAGAATTCATTTTTACTTTATTCACACTTTATCAATTCAATACCAACTACATAATTCTTCTTTTTCTTAAAAACCACACAACCCTCCTTTGTCCCAAATTTAGGGGGACGAAGGTAGTACTCGGTAACTCCCATCTTCAATTGCCATGCAACGCAACTTCAAAATTCTAATGAAAGGACAAATATACTTCCATCTCTAAAAGCATAAAGACCCACTTTTGTTAGATAATCTTTTAATGTATAATACAAATGTACAAGCAACGACATTAACAAAATTTAGCAATATATGAATAATATACATTGCAATCAATATATTCGTTTTTATTGTTACTTTTTGTTTAATGAATAAAAATAATTTAGGATAATATATTAAAATTATATCCAAAACCAATAGAAAACTAGAATAGTTAAATAAATTGAAAACATTTTATCTCCTTGTAATTTGTGGTGACATAAATATTTAAATATATTTTTCATTTTTGTTACATGACTTTTCTTGGTATATTTTTACTTATAACTTCATTTATTAATCAATGTATCGTCATACTAATAAAATTTATTAAATCATGAAAAAATAATTTCTAAAAAAATATTACTTGTGTTAATACATTTTTATTTTATTTAGATAAGGGAAAAATAATTAAAATACCCCAAACTTTGAAGTGATGTGAGCTAATTAAACCAGCCAACAGAATCTGCTATTATCAATCAACTAACACAACCAACCAACAACCAATAACCAATTGCCAAACACCCCCTTTAATTATTTTAGAAATTGCCCTTCCATCCCTTTTGATTATGTTTTGGAGAAGTTCAATCATACTCCCTCCGTCCTAGAAACAACTTCTGAGTTGGATTTCACACATATTAAGGAAATAAATTTATTAGAAGATAAATTTTACTGTTTTGACATTGTTTGGACTCTATTTGGCATTGTTTTGCATTGTTTTGATGTAGATAATTTGCCAAATAAGGAAATGAGAATTTAATTTTGGGACTGCCCAAAAAAAGAAAGGTGTAAGTTGTTTCTGGGACGGAGGAAGTATTAAATAATACTCTCTTTGTTCTTTATTAACTATCTCTTTAGGCTTGGGCACGGGTTTTAAGAGAAAAATAGTTGGAGTAATATAGAGTGTGTAGGATAAATGATAAAATAGGAAAGAGAGTATATTAAGAAGAGTAAAGTGATAATAAAGTAGGAAAAAGAGTGTATTAAGAAGAGTAAAAGGATGATGGAGTAGGAAAGATAAAGTACTACCTAGTATGTAAAAGGGTCAAAAGTAATAAAAGTGAGATACTTATCTCAAAAACTTTTCTAAAATGAAAAGAAGGACAATGAATAAAAAACAGATCAAAATGGAATAAGAGACAATTATTAAAGAACGGAAGAAGTATTGTATATTACTTTCTCGGTTTCTCCATCTCAATAACAATGAGACAAGAATGAGTGTCACGCAAATCAGTAAAAATGTGTTGGTTTTACCATCAGTATGCCCTTCTATTTGCATAATTCTTGAAAAGAGTATTAAGCATACAATATACCTCTTCATCATGGAAAAAAACTTGAAGTGTCTTCCCTCTCATGAAATGCCTTCAAACTTTTAAGGCCTACTCAATTCTAACTTTCCATGATACTTGTTAACATCTGTTATGTGTTTGCTTTGGAGTGAGATACATTTTAACATGCTATTATCTTCTATATTGCAGGTCCAAGCAAAAAAAAGATGATTATATTTTTTAGTAATAACATGATGCTTTATAACATGTAAATATGTAGGATCTTGGACCTGAATAAGGTGCCCAAATATGTATTATTCATAAACAAAATGTATTTATTAAATAGTTAAGATTAGGAATTACAGGGTTTTATTATTGCATAGTCAAGTTCTCAGGTATGATCTTCATTCCCTAAAATTTTAATTATTTCTTTTTTTTTTTTTGCATTTAAATTTCATAATCTTCAAATGCAGGTTGGTTCAAAGAATGGGGGATAGGTTAACTGGACATAAACCTGTTTTTCAAAACATGTCATTCTGCCTCGATTTGTTTATTTTTAGTGTTTGGACCTTCCAGTATGGTTTTGTTCTGTTACACTCAAAAATATTAGTTACAAACCCTAGGGTATATAAAACTAATAACTAAAACAATCTAAGTTTTACATGTGAGATTTACCTTTTGTTGGTACCATTGATTTTATGTGTTTGATTCATTCCCACAATCCTGAAAATAAAATCTGTGTTTCTATACATGTTAGAAAGCATGCAAAAATATGTGAATGTTAAGCAGTAATTATAGATATAGATTCTTACCAATGTGGCTTTTGCAAGTCATTACTCTTAAAATGAATATTCTTTGGTTGACAACTTCTAATCTCTCATACTGTAAAACAACTTCTTCTGTCTCATCTCTTAAACTGCAGTCCCATAGAAGTCCCACTTTCAAGGCCATTGCTGTGAATTGTTGCTCTGAGTTCCGTAACTAATGCAGTTGGATGTATTTATACTACAATTTGGAGCTACTTAGAATAGATGTGCGAATTATCCAATGGTCAATAACCTGCAATATCTTTACTTTACCTGGATATATGCACACCTTTTTAGAAGGACAGCTAATCCGCAGCAAAATAAAAAGTGCTTTCGGCCAACATCAAATCAAAAGTACAATACGTAGTACAATGCATTAAATTTTTTGGGGCTCAAAGATTACATACGATTTTATTTGTTGTCTCCAAGATTCGAAGTACAATGCATATACTTTTTTATTGATAATAATGGCTCTACTTTCGAAATTGAGGAGGGAGAATTAAAGAGTAAACATATTTTTATTGAGCCACACAAACTGAAGCATTGGACATCGTGCCACCATTAAATCAATGTTGCAAATCTCGGAATCTGTTAGATGACCCATTACTGTACCCATATTCATTAACCCAACCCGACCCGTTACTGTACACTCTTTGGACGGGAACACTGTTCATTTTTCCACTTGCTTTTGTATAATAGAAGATTTCTGTTTTACATCTTTTGGAAACATCTTTGGTCAAAAAATTTACCTACTTCTACTTCGTATAATTAATTCTTTATTTTATTAATAAAATATATTTTAATTTTTTTTCTTAATGAGATAAGATAAACGACATAAAACCTGTGACCCGTGAAATTCAAACTTGAGCCTCAATGCTTCAATGAAACTCCGGTGCGGCCTCACGGCCTTCTATGATACTCCAACTCGCCGGCCGCTTCTCTCCCTCCGTCCGCCGAAGTGCTCTGTCTCATTTTCTATCGATTCATCTCATTCTCACGGCGTCTCACTCGCAGAGTTGCTCCAGCACGAAACGCTCCGGATCCTAGAATGGCCCGCTGTCTGCTCCCAGCTCGCAGCCTTCACTTCCACACCCATGGGACTTTCCGCGGCCCGTTCCTCGAGGATTCCGTTGGGACGCTCTCCGGAGGAGAGCCTGAGGCTCCTGGCGCAGACCTCTGCTGCCTTCGCTCTTCCTCAGCGGCTGGATTTTTCCGGAATCCATGACGTCACGGACATCGTCGATACCGCCGTCTCCGGTCAAGTACTCTCCATTCATGAGATTTGTTCCGTGAAACGAACTCTTATAGCAGCCCGATCATTGCTTAAACAACTGGAGGAGATGTCTTCACAAAATGAATTTCGTGACAGGTACAAGACGGCGAATAGGAATGTGTTTGCTAGTAGATACAGATATAATTTCGCATGTTTCCATCTAGCAGTTCACAATAGTTTTTTGAAGTATGCTCTCTGGCGAATGCATGGCCTGTCACTCAATACTCCTGGAAGTTCTTTTGGATGCGCGTGTAAATGACAAATTATGTTCTAGTAAATGCATCATGTAAATGAAGATTTGTCTCTCCTTTATATGAATTCTTAAATATTCACACTATCCAGAAACGGATAGATAAGAAATAGTAGAATCATTACTACTGTTCTACACTTCTACATGGAGGTCATAACTCATAAAAATCAAACGCTTGGCCATGCTCTCTTTCATTGTGAAATGTTCTTCTTTTAATTTTGGCAATTGAAAATCACAGCCCTCAGTTCTATGATTAATCGCTTAAGGACACATAATCTACAGACTGTAATTTCCAAGAAACTATCAATATTTAATAATTGAGATCAATCTGATGCCTTATTTGTTGCTGATATTACTAATATCCAACAGCTTAAAGTTTATGATTTGAGAATAATTAACTTGAAAATAATCAGGAATATTCTTTTCTTTTTAATACTTTGCATACAGCTTTAGGGCTGTGTTTAACATGACTTCTTTTATTTGCTCTAAGAGTAATATATATATATAACGGATTAATGGTTACCTAAAAACACTGAGGTATATGGAATGGAAAGCCATCTCAGTAAAGACGAGCTAAACTGAGCAACAAGTTCTTTACATGCAGTTAATTGAACTTAGGGAACACCACCAGACATTGATGGGTCTCTGTATGGTTTCTGAAGATTTTGGTTCTGGATGAATTATTTGATATCAAGTTGAACTTGTAGACTTTCTATATACTGTATTTTCATTAGGGCTTTTAGGCAGTTGCAAGAAGTCATTTGAATGGGGACTTGATCAGCTGTTTCAATGTGTTCCAATTATTTGTATTTTATCCAAGCAGGTGGTCTCCACTGATTGGAATTCTTCAAAATTGTGATTTTCTTGTTGAACTGGCTCAAAATTTAGAATTCTGTATCAACTGTGATCTTTCAGTAATCCTCGATCGAGCTAGTGAAGAATTGGGAATTGTGAGGTCCAAGAGAAAAAGGAACATGGAAAATTTGGAATCAATGTTGAAGGAGGTGTCATCTAGGATTTTTCAGGCTGGTGGAATTGACAGACCGGTAGTAACCCAACGTCGATCAAGGATGTGTGTTGGTGTTAGAGCAACCCACAGATCTTTGCTCCCAAATGGTGTGATCTTAAATGTTAGTAGCACCGGATCAACATACTTTATGGAACCTGAAGCTGCAGTTGAACTAAATAACATGGAAGTGGAGCTTTCAAGTTCTGAGAGGAAAGAGGAACAAGTGGTGCTGAGTTTGCTTACATCTGAAATCGCTCTATCGAAAATGAAGATAAAAGTTCTGCTAGACCGGATATTAGAAATAGATTTTGCGTTTGCCAGAGCTTCTCATGCTCATTGGATAGATGGGGTCTGTCCAGCTCTTAGTTCAAAAGGATGCAATAATTTAGCTGTGGATATTGAAGGCATATATCACCCTCTGCTCCTTGAGCGCTCCTTGAGAAGATTGCCTGATCTTGTAAGATCTAAATCCCAAACTTCACCTTATTTAGATCTGAGGAAGGATCCATTAAAGCCTGGTCATGTGTTTCCTGTACCAATTGATATCAAAATTGAATACGGAAAAAGAGTGGTTGTGATATCAGGCCCTAATACAGGAGGCAAAACCGCTACGATGAAAACCCTGGGTCTGGCTTCTGTTATGCTCAAGGCTGGCATGTACTTAGCGGCTCATAATAATCCCAGGCTTCCCTGGTTTGATCTAGTTCTGGCGGATATAGGTGATACTCAGGTGTTTTCTTCGTTCACATTCTCTTTATGCTGTTATTATTTATTTTATTCTTGTGACAAACTGTTTCTGCTTTGCTCTTCTGTTTCTTGTGTTATCTTAGCATGATTGTTATCAATATGTATCATTGTAACATTGTAAAAAAAGTTCAACGATGTTCTCTATCAGCCTATGCAAAACTGTTCTTCAAAACATTCTCATGTGGAAACGTCTATTGTATATTCTACAGTGTATCTGAATATCTTAGGAGATTTGTTACATATTTGCAAATTCTTGAGAGTCCGAGTACGCGTATCCTAGACAAAATTCATATCAAGTGAGAAAGTGTTAAAACATGACCCGTTATTCATGAGGTTTCTGAAGTTAAAGTTATACCCTAAACAAAACTTCAAGAATAGACCGAGCAGTACTTAATAAATTTAATCATTATTATTTTTTTTTGTAAAATTTCGGTAACATTTTGTAAAAAAAGAATTCAATTATAAATAAAATAAACATTTATGTTTTTCCATCCCATCTGCAGAAAAACTATGTGTAAGAAAGTCCTCGTAAGATACTAAGATCTTAATATTTTCAAATACGTGTATGCTTGAACCTATATCTATTGAGATTGTTCTATCACAGTATCCGTGCTGCATAAACTTATCATAGTTATTTACTGCGTAGTAAATAATTTGTATCTTGCTGACGTGACTCTTTTTTCTTCCTTTTAAAGTCTGTTGAACAAAGTTTCTCAACTTTTAGCGGGCATATCTCTCGGATTCGCAAGATCTTGGAAGCTGCTTCTGAAAGTTCTCTCATTCTCATCGATGAAATCGGCAGTGGTACTGATCCTTCGGAAGGTGTAGCTCTTGCAACAAGCATACTGCATTATCTCAAAGAAAGAGTTAATTTAGCAGTTGTAACCACCCACTACAGTGATTTAACATGTTTGAAAGAGAAGGACGACCAATATTGTAATGCAGCAATGGATTTTTGTTTGGATTCTCTGCAACCTACGTTTAGGATTCTTTGGGGAAATATTGGCGAGTCAAATGCCTTGACCATTGCTAAGTCAATTGGGTTTGATGAAAGGATAGTTAGTCGGGCACAATCATGGGTAAACAAATTCACGCAAGACAAGATGCAGGAGCAGAAAGGATTTCTTTACCAGTCACTAGTGGAAGAAAGAGAGAGATTAGAAACCCAAGCAAAGAAAGCTGCTTTTCTTTATTCAAATGCTGTGCATCTTTTCCATGAGGTACAACTAACATAGTGCCGTGCATCACTTTAGGGAAGAATGCTTCTACCTCCATCTCGAAATAATTGTCGTGTTTTCTCTCTTGGCAATAGTATGTGGCTCATATAATTTCACCATTTTCTACTTAAATCTCAATCACATCTTTTACCTTTTCAATCACTATTAAAACTTAATAGTGACATTGATATGGGACGGAGGGAGTACTTCATCAAGAGAGGCGTTTTGTGAACAATGTAAAAAAACTTTTAATCCTTATTTTAAATTTAGGTTGACTTTTGAAACACATAATATTCATCCATATTTCTAAAGAAATATGTTGCCGCTTTTACTGAAATAAAATTGATATTTCTAAAGATGTCATTACTTTTATGCTTTTATTTCTAAAGGTTTTATAAGTAGTTATCTATAAAAGCGTTTTTCCACCTCACCCCGAACAAGTCACTAACATTCTCTAGACACTTATTTCACTCTTCAAAATACTTTTTGTCAAGTGAAGATTCGAGATGAGGCACAAGATTTAGAGGAACATGAAGAAGCTCTGAAGGCAAAGGAAACACAAAAAACAGAAAAAGAAGTAAGGGCTGTGAAGATGGAGATAGAAGCTGTACTGCAAGATTTTGAGAACCAACTCAAGACTATTGGTATTGATCAGGTCAATTCACTCATCAAGAAATCAGAGTCTGCAATTGCATCCATAGTTAAAGCTCAACAGCCTTCCGAAGAACTTATCAGAAAAAGAGGCCAAGAGTTTTATACCCCAAGGGTAGGAGAACAAGTGAGTGTCAAGAGTTTAGGGAATAAATTGGCTACTGTTATTGAAGAGCCCGGGGAAGATGATGAAACTGTTGTTGTCAAATATGGAAAAATTCGAGCTCGTGTGGATAGAAGCAATATAAGAGCCATTGTAGCCAATCCTGCAATAGGTTCTGTCCGGAGTTCAAGAAAGCAGGTCAGTAATGCAATCTATTTATCTATGGGCCTTTTTGGTCGTGTTTTTTTGGCTGAAATAGCTTTCATTATAGTTTTCTGAAAGGAAAATCGTTCATACGAATAATTTCAGCCAAATAGTCAAAAGCTACTTGTTTTATTTTCACAGAGCTTCTTCACGTGTATAATCACCTGATGAGAGTATTTATCAGCTATCTGTGATTCATATGTGGTAGTGGATAAAGCAATATCAAAATTGAATAAAGGTACTCCTGAATAATTTTCTATAGGGTCAACAAGGGATGAAGAATAATCTGAAGGAGCTAAGAAGCCTGACTGCAGCCAACTACAAGGATGAGGATTCTTATGGCCCTATCCTGCAGACATCGAGAAACACAGTGGACTTGAGAGGAATGCATGTGGAGGAAGCTTCTCACCAACTCAGCCTGGCTATAGACACAAGAGGGCCCAAATCCGTTCTTTTTGTTATTCACGGGATGGGGACAGGTGTCATTAAGGATTTGGTGTTGAAGTTGCTAAGAGATCATCCGCGTGTCGCTAAGCTTGAACAGCAAAGCCCGATGAATTACGGTTGTACAGTTGCTTATCTTAAGTAGAAAATTTTCTCTTCACTGAGTTCACTCAGAACAGCCATTGTAAATATTATTTTGTGGACAGGTAAGGGGAAAGGCTTATTTGTACAGTTGTGTGAATGTGTGATGTGATTAGTATTCAGACGTTATTACAGTAAAAGGAAATCTGCTGGGCGGTTTTTTTCTAGTTTATTTAGCAATAATTGTAATACGGAGTATGATATTTCAGTATTTTGTACTGCGTTCATGCCATACCCGGCATTCTGCTACAAACTGCATAGTGAGTTTGATTATAGCTCAATTATGTTGCATGACAATTGACAAGGAAGCTGAATGCACGATAGTTATTTATATTGGAAACCTGTTCATTTTATCATCTCCCAAATTACTCACACAGTAGCACATACCCTCTCATTTTGTACGCTTGTGAATAAGTTAAACACTTGTACAAATAGTGTGTGCCGAACAACGGAACAATGACAATTGACAAATGACACCTTATCCCATAAACTTATACGGTAGTATTATTATAGGAAAATAAGAGCACTTTTTATATGAAATACGAAGTATATTTTTCTATCTTGTTTCATATTTATTTTGCACAAGAAGTATTTTATTTATGCAAGTACAGAAATTTAAAACCAAAATTACACAATGAATTAAATAAGGTCATATAGAGTATTTTTAGTCTAAAATAATTAGGGGTGGACAATTCGGTTTCCAATTTGATTTGCATCTACTTCTGTTCGGTTTCAATTTATTTGATTTGAGTGATATTAAATTTGATTTGAGTGATATTGTACAAAACTGAAATCATTTGTGTTTCGATTTGATTTTAGTTCGGTTTGGTTTCAACCTTCAAGGTCAGATGATCAAAGTAAAAATGATTTGATAGATTTAACTTGATTTTTTTAAACATTTCATATCTTTGAAGTTTGAACAAAAACACCGGAAAATATGAACGAAATTTGAACGAAAAGGACTTGTGAAAAAAATTTAGATTATTTCGAATTCAATAATTTATGTTTACTCAATTATCTCTATCACGAATTTTTTAGTAATCTAAACATACGTAACAAATAAATAATACATTAATCACACGGAATATTTCTTTTTCCTTTGTACCTTCCATGATAAATCCAAACTTAAGAAAATCTCTAACCTTGCACATGTCATATCCTTTCGATACGATTTTAGCCCATTTCTTAACATGCTCGCTCTCCTACATCAACTCTTCATAGCATCGGGTATTAGGGTAAGACATGCTAAGGTAAATTAAAATTTCAAAAAAAAAAAAAAACTTTAATCTGAATCTAGCTGGTTGATTATGGAACAGTTGGACGTATCTAAGAGCATTTGGCATTTAAAAAGTAAATAAAATGTTAATATTGATTGCCCAAAGAGCTGTGCTGTACAATAACGCACTGCAGAATAAAACTATTGAGCCTAAAAGCATCACAAAAATACAAAAATATAATTAGACTATAAGAAGATAACAGAAAGTTAGAAATAAAAGCAAAGAGGATTTTTAAATAGAAACCATTTCATTAACAGTGTGGCATAAACTGTTTTAGTTTGAAAATGAAAAAACCAGAAACAGGCAAAGTTGAAATGTATGCATTGTCCTCAACAGATCGGGATAACACACTCTGCCTAACTTATCATGCCAAAACACACACACCTCTTTGCTGGATCATCTTCTCCGCTGTGAGGGGTTATCCGGATGAAAACTAATCAAAGAACAACTCCAATGGCTGTCACTGTTTTTTCTCTTCTGCTTTCCGTGGCTGAAGAGAAGTATGTAGAAAAACAAATTAATGACTTATGAATACATTAATACACGAAAAATTATAAGACATATATATGCAGAAAATGCATTTGGTACATGAAAAAAGTAAAACCGAAAGGCCCAGGGGAAAACTTTATTATTTAGATTATTACAGGCTGCATAGAAACAGATATAAAACAAGCCAAGTTAGCTCATGTTTTCTTGTCACGTCGTTTTAAAATCTAAGAAAGCAAGTTAGCACATGAGATATCACATAATGTTAATAGAGGAACGGTACTATGGGAAGCATAAAATCCCATAAATGCATACCTAAGGCATTCAATACTTGCACATTCAACAAATTTGAAGAAATCATATCAAGAAACAGACATTAGTGAGTTGAACAGTCGTATTAGCAACTAGTCTCATCACCTTATCATTGTTAAATAAAACTTTACAAGAATGGAACCCAAGTTTAATCCAATTCAAGGATACAAATTAAGGCTTCCATAACTCTACAACCCCAAACATCAAGGTTTTAGAACATCATGATGTGACCTTTTTGTGCCTTATCAATTTATGAACAGTAAAGTCTTTGAAAAGTAGTACGGAGTATCACAAACATTGACAGCTCAACAAAATTATGGATTAATCTATCATGACATTAACCTTTAAGTATATATCTTACATCTGGATGTTCCATGCCCAGAGTACATCCATAAGAGCATTGTGAGTGTTCTTCACATATAAGATGAGTTTTATTATACTCAACTAATCATTATTTAAAATGAAAATGAGAAAATAAATAAAACACGAGCACAATGGGATGAGTATTGCTAAGATGGATTTTGCTTGGGGTACACAAAATGTGTACACATGTCCGTCCTTCGGAGAAAATTTGTCTATCACAGACAATTAATTATGAGTTGTCTGTGACAGACAAATTTTCTCCGAAGGACAGACATGTGTACACATTTTGTGTACCAAAAGCATTTTCCTGCTAAGATACAATTCTGCAAGTTGAGCATTTATTAAAATAAACTCAAGATACAAAGTTGCATCAGGTTGTATTACATATTTTGCCATTAACCTTACGGTAAAGGTAATGTGCTGTGCAAACTTCTAAATGCAACCACTAGATAAGAGAAATTCTGTAATAATACCCTTACACTTTTGCAACCTCTGCAGCTTGTACATCATGGAGCAGACATGAATGGTTCTAACACTATAGGAATATCATCTTCAGAAAATAGATATCTAGACTATAACTTTAAAAAATAAATAAATAAAGAGAATGCCGAATAGAAATAAGCCTCTAATCTATTGGAGGTTTGTAATAAATGATCAATCTTTGCATTACTCATTTCGTACACAACCTGTTTGACGATTTGCCTATTCAAATCCGGCAAAAAAAAGCAAAACTTCAAGTTTTTCAAAAAGATCTTGTAGAAGGATAAGAAGCGAATAGAGCCCAACCTTAATTCCAGTAAATGGTTCGTTGAGCTCTTCAGCTGGGATGACAACGGGCCACTTCTCACCAGCTTCACGGAACATCTGCTCAGTCTCGAGATACTGACCCTTCTCGAGAATCATGTTGCGGATGGTTTGGGCGGGGGTGGTGGTGGCATCATAGGTCTGCTCGGCGCCATTGGCGAATGTGACGGTGATCTGGGGAGGGAAGTCGTCGGTGCGGCGCTTCACCTGAATTTGACAGGCGGGGTTGGACTCCTTTGACTTTGGGGCGTTGCATTGGGCTAGGAATTCCATACATGACGCCGTGCGCGAATCGATCGCATTGAATTCGATCTTCACCTTCGATAGAAATTTCAGCATATTGTTGCTCCCCTTACTTCAGTGGCCTCTCTTCCTTCTGGGAGAGGACAACCAACACACGCGGGGAGAACAAATAATCAGTAAATAGTTTACAGCATCTTTTTTGGGTGATTTTCAATTTTTATATCAACAATTCTTGATTTAAACATTTATATCAATTTTTTACACACATTTCGCACATTTTATCTGTAGAATAATCATTTATTATAAAATTATCAACAACTTTTGAATTTTTAGATGAATGATACAAACAAATTGCAGAGTTCAAATACTCAATAGATTAAACTTGATGCTCACTGAAATCTAATGCCCAATTAGAAGAACTTACGATTTTCATATCAAATGGACATGTCAAAAATATATATAACACCCCATGTTCCATAAAACTTGTTAATATTGATTTTTCTTTGTCAATCATGGTCAACTTTGACCAATAATATTTTTTAATATGAAACTATTTCAAATATGAAAATTATATGAAAATGTTCTTGGTTAGAAATACTTTCATATAAATAAAAAGTTATACGCTTCACACATATAATAGCTAAAATCATTATCCAAAGTTTATTATCACGAATCAAGAAAAGTTAAATTTGCCATGTTTTGTGGGATGAGGATATTATTAAATTAGATTCGCATATTGCAATTCATTAGATATACTTTAAGATTTTTTTTGAAAAAAAAGAAAGAAAGAAACTGAATTAGAAGATATGAAGCAGAGATCGTGAGGTTTAATATTAGACGTTTAATATTCAACAAAATAGCCATGTCGTTCGTTACAATTTACATTGATGTTCAATTAATGAGTTTAATACATCAAATCTCCTCGTGATATAGAATTCAGCGCATGAAGCTATGTGATTTAAAAAAATGTGTCAAACCCCTCTGTGTTATAATTATTCATGAGCAGAACCTTCTTTTGTGAATAAATATAACAATTTTAAAATCATTTTTCTTATACTCGTATTATGATTGAATATGGAAGCAAATTTATCAAAATCTCTAAATTGTACAAAAATGTTAATCATTTATCTGTTATTTGTCACTTGAATTTGTTCACATAATAGATTTTGCACATGATTAATAATAACACAAAGGGGTTTTATACATTTTACTACGAAATTACATGAATTCATGCACCAAATTTCTACTCCGTATATCACAAGGGAGTTTGATACATTAAACCTCTCAATCACAAAGTGTTGATTTTTATTTAAAATTACAAAATTCAAAGATGTGCCAGCAAGCATTACTTGTGTTATTGGTATTTAAAGGAGTATAGAAGCTAAATAAAGAATAAAACTTTTTTAAAGCGAAAAGCGTCCAAAAGCGATGACCCCGGGCTTTGTTTCAAAGCGAAAGCCTATGCGAAGCGTAGCTTTCTCACAAAAAGCGATGCTTAAAAAAATTAAAGAAAATATAATACATAATGTATACAAGTGTAAATATTTATATATTTACAGTTTACAACATATTGTCTGCACTTTTTACCAAGTATTAGTAATATACTATCTTAAGCTCATTAAAACACACACTGTAAAACACAAAATTAATACAAATCAACCACAAAATTTAATGTGAAGAAGAGTATACAACTGTGAAGAATCTAAAAAGACAGAGTATAGAACATTAAACAACACAAAAGTAAAACAAATCAAACACAAAATTCGAAGAGTGTAAACTGTAGGAATGCTTAAAGACAAAATTAAAAGTGAAAGACTAAACATATATCATCGTTGATCATTCTTATAGGAGGTAT